AGAGTAAATTGAGAAAATGTTTTTCTTAATTTGTGGAAAAGAACCTAACAGTTATATCTATGGAGCAGAGACACTTGGTTGCAGCTGACAGCCGAGTACAAAGTTACACAGCTTTCCCAGAGAAAGACGGACACAGACGATATCACTAAAATATAACCATTAAGTCTGATTTTAGGAATGACGGGTTGCAGCTAAAAGCCCTAAAAACTCTCAGCGCTCGTGGTCAGTGCTGCTCCCTCACCAGATCATGAGTTGAATTAAGGCGTGATCGCCCTCTCGCCACCCGCCATCAGCAGCACCTGCAGCTCTGCTCCTCTTCCTCCATTTGTCATTAGCCTCAGAGAACAGAGAGAGAGTACCTGAAAATGAGTATGGCGGTACAGATATAATTGCTTTCTTGTCTTTTTCAGTTCCCTCCCAAAAGGAGGAGGCATAGCTGTGACTGACTGAGGTTATCTTCACTGTACTATCTGCTGAAGAAGCACATTAATGAACAGTGCATTAAAAGTTTCAGTCTGTGCCTGCCACACACACACACACACACACACAAAATAAAAACACTGTCCTGCAACTACAGTAATTTAAAAACCTCAGTCTCCACTATGCGGTCTGGGAGATGAAAAATAAAGGCCTTCAGGCATTGTGCACAGGATTTCTTTTTATTCAAACAAAGCAAAGGTAAGATTCATTCTACAGTTAATCCACATGTGCACACTTTCCTCCCAAGAATCATACCATGTAAATGAATATGCATTCAGGTAAACACATAGTAAGGAACAGAAGCTGGAGCTAAATATGCAAGCTAAAGAGAGCTACCAGAAAAGGAAAACTGTGATCAATGGTGACACCTTGTATCTGCACCTGGAACCAGTGGATGGGTGGCTCTCTTAACTAAAAACCCAATTACTGTAGCGTGAATGTTTGTTTAATTAGCCTTGTATGATAGGCTGCCCATTCATTACGTGGCTAATTGCCATCCTATCAGACCAAATAAAACACGCTATCACACTCCAGAGTCTGCATCATTGCGCCAGATGATATAATTTCTTTGCGAATCATCTGGATAACGAAAGGAGAAGAGAGACTGATGAGGTGGCGGGGCTGAATGTCAGTGTGTGTGTGGTTGGGCATGTGGAAGGTAGAAGGCAGAAATCCAGAGCTATAATTTAAACCTTTGAGCTAGTTTGACAAAGGGGCCATTGCAGCGGCAAGCAAGATGTGTTCATTTGTCTTAATTGAGAAGTGTGAGTGTGTGTGTGTGTTAGGACCTCACCAGAAGACCCCTCTCTCCCTTCTAAGCTCCCCCTGGTACACACTGTCAGGCTAGAGCTCATCAGAAGATAGATCTGCACTGCACCTCATATTCCAACTTACTGTATTTTATCTCCACTGCAGCCAGCACTACTGCTCAAATACAGGACCTGAAAATTCCTGTTCATTTGCCAAAGTGAAGATACCAGGCAAACTAACTCGCCCTACAATCAGTTTACTTAGGCCCCCTCAAAAAACATTCCCTCCCTAAGCCCTGCAGTCATTTACTGCCATATTTGCTCCTTTTAGAACCCTGCCACAGTGTATTCTCCTGATGAAATTGAAGCAAAGAATGACTATGAGTAGATTTTCACATCACCTGGCCCATGTGAAGTAGAAGAGACTGTCATTATGCTGTTCAGTGGAGCAGCAATATCTCTAGCTGCTTGGGGACATTGGGTGTCTTAGC